ACTTAACTATTTCTCTGCTGATCTGACGGCGTTATGGCGAATCTTCTTATGCTTTTTTGGATTATTTTTGCCAGCACTGAATTCCCTGACAAAAGCTAGCTTGTATTCATAAAGTAACAATACATCCCTGGAGTTATTCCGTGTTACATATAACTATATCTTACGCAAGTTAAACAATGTCAAAAAGCAAATGTTTAAATTGTATTTGATTATCTCCCTTGACAGTGATTGACTACGTCATCTTTATCACGGCATAATTTTCTGGTAATCGGTCTGTGACATGAATTAATCTTCTATGGAAATTTTTAGCGAGGCGAACGTTTCACATTCGAAAAGAAAGGAACTCGTGTTTAACATCGTACCTGTTCAGAAAATGATTGTTAAGTTTATCAATACTTCAATGCAAAATGTTGGATTTCATGATCAAATAAACATATTTATGCCCTCCATTGTGTCCCTTCCATTGTTCTTATCTGGAGAACATGACATTACTTGCATTTAAACTCGATAGATATTGCCGATGAAGTATCGGACACTAACGCTTCCGGAACAGATGGTCTTATTGACTTTCCCATAGCTACCATTAAAATACTTCATGTGTTCATATTAAATTTAGTTTAACTCTTTTATCCTAGAGAAATGTTTTTGTTGTGTTTATTTGTTTGTTTGCAATTTTTTACTTCCTACCTGCCTTAGAAAACTTGTCAAACAAACAAACAAACAAATACATTTTATTTTATTCTTTGTTTCATCTTGATAGTTGTTTACTGTATATACTGTTTTCCTTGATTGTTATTTTTTCGATCTTTCTGCATTTCTGATGAAATTACACAACATAGGAAGGAGTGGTGATATATATATATATCAGAATGTTTTATCAGAACTTTTTCTACTTCTTTCTAAATTCATTTTCAATCTTTCTCTGAACAGACCATGTACACATTACTGTTGCTATTTTTGTATTTACATATTTAAACATTTTTCTATATAAATCTGTGTTATTGCATGTATAATTTCATATAAAATATACTAAAATTTAATCGACCATACTTTATGAAATATGTAAATCCACAATTCATTTTATATTAATTTAATTTTGAATATTAAAAGCATTAGCCGTTTTTTACGGTTCATGGACAATTTGTTTTCATGGATGTTCATAAAACTACTTCGATGAAAATGATAAATTAATTCTAGTTATTTAGTCAAACGTTTGACATATGTCTGTAATGAAAATGACATTTTATTTTTATATGGTATCTGGAGTGTTTATATATTAATTATTAAACTGCGATAAAAGTAGATTGTTATCTTGAGATAATCTGGGTTTTACAAAAGCTTGTCTTATTGTAAAAAGACAATCAAACACCTGAATGACTTGAACATAAGGAAACATATGTAAAGTTTAAACGGACGCTGTTTTTTTCCGTCAAGTGATTGACTTCTCTCTGTAAGTAGCAGACACACTTCTAAAATAAAAAAAAAGATGCTTTACAGTAAACTTGAATGGATTTTCAAAATAAGTGCAGGAAATAACACGTTACTTTGAAAATGGAACATACAAAAAAAGAGAACTTGTTTCACTTTTTTTCTAGATTAACTTTTTTCAGAATACATTTTGATATCAGAATACATACAGTGTAAAAAATCATTGTAATTTTCTGTAGAAACCTTTTAGAATGTGATGATGTTTCCCCAAAAAACAGAACACAAGGATGTGAAATTCTTCAAATTTGAACCGTTAAACTAGAAAAAAAAAGAAGACAAAAAAGAGTTGAAATCAAAACGTATATTTGTATCAGGGCTGATATGATTACGGATAAATGATAGGCACAAGGCAACTTTAATATTGAGATGAAAATAGGCACTGCAAGGTTTAACATTATGATGATATGTAACCAGTGTCTGATACCATCCCACGAGAATACCAACGATCTCTAGCGGGGACACAGAGTGCCACAACTGTTTAGCCCCAGGAAATGATAATACTATCGATAACGTTGTTTTATACATGTCAAACGTAAATGTGGGATTTGATGTGAATGGTAGACAACAGAGAGCTATCTAAATATAAAATGGCTTCTAGGTGACATAATTCTTTGATTTATACCTTTTTAGCCCCCCCCCCTTCACCCCCTCTCTCCCCTCTCCCCTCTCCCCCTTTCGGTTCACACATGGATATCTAAAAGCGGCTTTGGTTCATACGTGGACAATCAAACGGTTGGACTGATACATTTTTAATTAATGTATATATTTAAAAACATGTAAGTGGTCTGTGAAGTATGTATACATATATACAAAAGCGAGCTTACAAGAAATGTATATATACTTTGTGAAATCTGATACATTTTTAGATGGTTCTTTGTCATAGATTTTTTTTTCGTTTTCACTGCTTTTATTTTCCATAGCATACTACTTTTTTATGAACTTAATACACTAGCAACGAATTATACACCAGTTTGCCTCAGGAAGACATAAAACTTGAAGACATTTAAAAGAAAAGAGCAAAACATGTTCTTTTTTTCTAATGAAAATAAAACACATTTTGTCAACGGGAAACTGCGATTTGTCGACTCTAAAACAGGCAAAAACGTGTTAAATATTTACATTATATTCACATTACATAAAGTAGGAAATTTGTGTGGAAAGACTTAATGTTCCGAGAACTTGATTACAAAATTAAATGGGTAGATAAGAGAGGAATCAATTATACATGGCTAGAAAAAAAAAGTTTTTTTTACAAGACGTCTTCAACAAATTACCAGTTTACCAGTAAAGCATCCGTATATCACGATACATGAAAATCTTACATTCATGTATAACCTTGAGGACAATACCAGATTTATTTGAGAATACAATCTGCGATGAAATGCTCAAATGAAGGCGGTAACGAACAAATTAAAAGAATCTATATATGAACTTTTCTCATTTGTAATTTAAAATAATATGTTCTATATGGCTCATCCGATGTCATAGATGTGTTGCTTATCACTCAAATAACTTATCAGGTCGTGTCCAAATGTTTAACGCTAATCATTAAAATATCCTGATAATATCATAACTATGGTATAATAACCGGATAATATCATGCTTAAACTATTTGTAACTAGCATAATCAGATAATGTAATTAATAGGATACTGATTAATAAATAAAATCGGATAATGTCATAACCATATCATTCATTGCTAGAACAACCGGATATTATCACAACTTTGTGATTCATAACTAAAATAACCGAATAATGTCACGATTATATAAATAATTACTAAAATAATCGGATAATGTCATTACAATGTCATTTATTACTAAAACAGTCGGATAATATCATTACTACGATGTATGCAACTGGTATTTCAAGCCAATTCATAACTGTTTTTTATTGTAAAAGCAGCCTTATAATATCATAAATATGATGTAATTGATTGAGATAGCCCTTTTCTGTGATACTAATGGCCTTTTATCCGAAATAACCATGTCGTTGGGCTTATGAACCTTATTTTCGTTTCGGTTTTTACCTTACAGTTTTAGATGGACTCAGAATTCTAAGACGTTTCACAGAGTCTCTACCCGTTTACAGTATCTTTGAAAGCGAAGAATGCTATAGATGTCATTATTGTATCTACGTACAGTGTTATTGATTTGTGAAGTTGTAGTATTTCGGAGTAAATTACGATGTATGAGACAAGAAATATGGAAATCGCTTTTGCGCTTTTAAAAAATTTGTCTTCTTCTATTCGTTGGCACGATCTTGTAGAAATGGAAGTCTAAAAAACTCGCAGGGTAAGACATACTTATAATGAATGATATTTCTAAAGATGTTAAGACAATGAACGAGTTACAGGTAAATTCCATCTGATAACACAGTTTTTATTGTTTAACGAAATAAAGACGAGATTTTCATATTGTCTCCTGAAAGACCGAAAGTCCAAAATAACTGACAGAAAATCAATTAAATATTAACACGAATTGATATATATTGAAGATGACCAATATATATACGAAATTTGATATCATTTTTATTACTGGATCAACAGGAGGCCTCTGAAATGTTGGAGAGTCAATCAACTATGTTCGACCAGAACGTGAGGCGGTGTGTATGTCAGCATTAACATATGACGAAGTCGTAGATATTCACCTACATCTTCATGCGTGTAGTTTTAAATCATTTCCATTAAATTCCATCTAGGAGTTGAATTTGAAAGATTTTTAATCTAAAAGACTTATTGGTCGATAATTTAGAGAATATGGCACTAATAACGGATATTTGTAAGTACAGTCATGTGTTATTGCAATTGTATAGTATAATACAGGAATATATATACATATGTTATTGCAATTGTATAGTATAATACAGGTATATATATGTTATTGCAATTGTATACTATAATACATGTATATATATACGAAAAAATGTATATGTGCCCGGATTCCTCAGTTAAACTACCTAGTATTACGTAAGTGTTCAATGTCATTTAATCTTAATTCGAGTTCAGTTCTATACACATATCTTAAAGTGAATAAAAATATCACCTCACTTTTTTTAGTCGAAAATTACATGATGTTTTGTTTCATAGCATCGTGTATAATCGCAGTAAGCTTACAACTCGTTGATAACCAAAGCTTCCGTATACTGCCCATTAACCTATAAACAATTCTTAAAGCCTTAATGGCATCAGATGTTGTTCCACACAGTCAATCTGTGTTGTTATTGTATCGATTTATCGGATCAATTAGTGTAATCGTTACAATTAACAGATCGATAACGGTTCAAAACGCTTGTGGTGTACATGTATTATATTTTTGCAATATTGTACATGTCATAGATGAGCCATTGATAGACGCTGTATCAAAGAAATCTTGTCACGTTACATATGTATAAAGGCAATTCTAGATTAGATTTGAAACATAACCTAAGGAATGAAACTAAATTCTAAACAGCATTTGTCATTTTCTATCATTGATATATAAAACATTGATAATATTACAAGCATATCTTACCTGGTACGGGGTTAGGGTCTACCCATTCCTTCAGCGCGGATAATGACGAAAATCGGTCCCCTATTCTAGCAACAACACAGACCAACAAAGAAAGACACATGTATCCGAAGAAAACATCAGCCGATTTCATTATTCCAAATCTTAATAGCACAAAGTTACATCCAATTCGTCAAGAGTAAGTGCACGTGTATTTAAACACACGTGTAGCCTCGGGAAATGTGTCTCGTCGATGTCACCTTTAACTTTAAAGACAGATTTCAGGTGTATGATTTTAACTCACATGTTTTTCCGCAAAAATATACTTTCCCTGTATAATCCTCGTGTTATGCCATGAATTGTTTACATTAAATCCTTACGTAGATGTTATTCCACACACTTTTCAGTTCAAGTATAAGCATCATAAAAGACATTGCATATATAGCGGGAGCGAAAAAATCTCGGCTTCCGTAGTCTATTTGGCCATGTCGAATTTGCTGCTGTGAGATTGGGGAAACGTTGAATATATGTGCTTATATATTGAAGAGAGAGTGTGTGTGTATATTTCGCACTGTAATATTCTCAAGTGGAGCCCTTTTAGTTTACACTGTAAAGAAAAGGGTGTGAAAGCGAACAAGTACTGAAGTCCTGTGATAGATAACGAAAAACCCGGGTCTACACAAACCGCTCAAACCCTCGCGTGCTTTGTCTCGTCAGCCACAACGATGAATGGAAGAAAGGCAAGGAGCCGTGTATTGTGATTGGCCCTCACTTGATAAGCAAACGCGCGGAGGAGGAAATTGAGAATAAAAAAAAATGTTGAATGGGATTTTATTTACAACACTACAATACACAAAAGTATTAATTAAATCGAATTAATTCCACACCGACACTTTGAGTGATAGCTCCAACCCTTGAAGGAGGTGTGGCTAATGTAAGATTATCCACGTGTTGGACATTCAACATTTTTTTCTACTTTCGTTTTGTTCTGAATGTTTGCCGGGAAAACAAACTTAAGTGGGTGCGGATTACGGCTTGCTTTTATGGTTACAACCTCTTCACACCTTGGATTGCCGTGAGTAAACAAAAACAATTACGTAACTACTAAACAATTTCTCCTTCTATCACAGAAGGTAAATATCTCCGAATGAAAGACTGTTAACAGTACCGATACTTATACAGATATAATGTACTTCAAACCCATCTTGTCACGTGTTATAGACATTATTTAGAAGGAGACGTCTCGGGTATTTTTTTTCTGTCATAATATAGGTGAAGAAGCTTAAAACATTTCAATTGTTATAAAGTTTGATGATATAACACCTGTTTCATAAAAATGTAATTAGAAAGGTATGTCCTTATAACTGTACTTTGTACTAAATTTACTGTTTACAATATGAAATTCTAAAACTTTTACTGTACTCTGTACTAAATTTACCGTATACAATGTGAAATTTTAATTTTTGCTACTGTACGTTGAACTAAATTTTCTGTTTACAATATGTATTTATAAAAACTTTTAAAAAATATCTGTATCATTTAACTTCAATAACACTTTGAAAATTGCGTTTTGTTTTTTTCTACTGATGTCCGTCATGTGACCCGTCCTCATAAAACTACCTTCACTGTTGATCGGACGTTAGATTTGTATAGACAAAACAAACCAATGAATGGTATTCTCACAATCTGAGTTTATATCAATCGTATATGATATCGGTTTTATAAAAATTAATAACAAATTTGCTTATTTTTATTGTTGCGAAGAGTTATTAAACCTTAATTTTGCGAATTAATATTTTATTTGACATAATATTTTTGGTTAAACATCGCCGTTTAAAAAATACGTCTCATTCGGAAAGACTCGCACATTTCGATATTTGCGATGTTATAGCACCGACAGAGTACAACTTTCTACACTAATTCGAGACCGCACGCTCCTCACCTCATAAAATTCTAACGACTTACATCTCAATCACGGAAGTATATAAGGTTTGAGAGGAAAATCTGCCCACCAAATTGTCAGTTTTGCCAAGTTACGCCCTAAACGGCAGCTCTTTTATAGTGGAGATAAAAAAAGTAGACGGAAAACTCACATTACTGTCGCTAAAGAAACAATGACGCGTGACAGGTTTCTACATATCAGGGAGGTTCAGATTGAGGGACGAGTGGGGGGTTGGGGAAAGAGGGAGGTCAGGAGAAGGATGAGTAGAGGGTCGAGAAAAGGAAAGAAGGAGATCAGAGTTAGGACGAATAGGGGGTCGGGGAAAGAGGGAGTTTTGGAGATAGCGAGTGCGAGGATAGGGGAGAGGGTGTTCAGTGGAAGGACGAGGAGGGGGTCCAGGAAAGACAAAATTTAGGCGAAGGAAGAGTAGGGGGTAGGGGAAAGAGAGGGTTTTGTGGAGGGCGAGTAGATGGTCGAGGAAAGGGAGTTTTAGAGGAAGGAAAGTGGGGGACAAGGAGTAGTTCGAGGGGAAAGGGTAATGTAAGGTTGTTGAGAGGGGGTTCAAGTGGAATGTCGAAGAAGGGGTCAGGTAAATGGGGGGGGGGGGGGTTAATGTGGAAGGGCGAGTAGGGGGTCGGGAGAGGAACCTTCAGTGGAAGGGGAAGTTGGGGCGGAGAGAGGAAAATTAATGGTAAAGGGGAGTAGGGGATCGGATCGGGGATAGAGGGAATTTAGGCGAAGGAAGGGTAGGGGGTTGATTAAAAAGGGAATTTTGGAGATGGCGAGTGCGGGGGTCGGGAAGAGGGAATTCAGGGGAAAGGAGAGTAGGGTCGGGGAAAGACGGAGTTTTGTTGGTAGGGGCGATTAGAGGGTCTGGGAGAGGGAGTTCAAGAGGAAGGGGAAGGGGTAATAGGGGGTCGGGGAAAGGAAGTTTCAGTGGAAGGGGAAGAAGAGGGCGGAGAGAGGGAGGTCAGTGGTAAAGGGGACTAGGTCTCGAGGAAAGCGAGAGTTCAAGTGGAAGTGGAAGAGCGAGTAGAAGGTCGGGAGCGGGAGTTCAGGGGAAGGGGAATGAGGGAAGGGTAGGAGAGTGGAAGTTCAAGTAGAAGACGAGGTGTGAGTAGGATGTAGGGCAGAGGGAGTAGAGTGGTAGAAGGAGCTTTGTGGAAGACGATTAGGGTGTGGTCGAGGAGATGGAATTAAAGGGAAAGGGGAATAGGGGAATAGGGGGTTGGGGAGAGGGAGTTTAATTATTAGCGCATGTAGGGGGTCAGCGAAAAAGGGAGTTTAATGGTAAGGGGTAATAGGGGTCGGGTAGAGGGGGTGAAGAGGAATGGGGAGTGGGGATACAGTGAGAGGGATTTAAAGGGGAAGGGGCAATTGGAGGTCAGGAAGACGGAAGTTAAGGGGAAGGGGGAGTAGGAGAGAGATTTTGTGAGGAGAATGTGAAACAAAGACAGTGAAGAATTTTGAGGGAAAAGGAGAATGGGAGCAGATATGGGGTCAGATGGGGGCGGTTTGGATGAGGGAAAAGTATCGATTTGTGAATGGGAAGTCTGGCAGTGTTAAAACATTTGTCCTTGCGTTCGAATCCGCTCAAAAGCTTGTACCCAGGACAGGAGTACAGACGGGTACTATCTATGAGACACCTCTGTCATTCTGTGATGGCTCCATATCATTTGTATATCGACTGATTACATTAATTTCTGCCGTCTCCTAGTAATTGTAGCATTTGATACCCCTACATCAACACGGGACGCTCAGTTCACCTCGAGTCTCTCAGTACAGAAAGCGTGTCAGGTTTCTCCACTCATTGTGTTCCAAGTTTTCATCTTTTATTTCTGCCGTGATTTGACAAAATGTGTTATATCGTTTGATGAGGGTCTGGATTTCGAAAAAAATCGAATAACTTTGACATTTTCAAATTAAATTTGCAGGACCTTTTTCTTAATAAGTGCATCGTTGGTGGATTATTCTACGTACAAACTAGCTTCACTTAACAATCGTAATTTGTTTATGAGTTTTCATTTATTAATTTATCTATTTATCTATATATTGATTTATCTATATATTGATTTATCTATATATTGATTTATCTATATATTGATTTATCTATATATCTATTTATCTATATATTGATTTATCTATATATTGATTTATCTATATATTGATTTATCTATATATTGATTTATCTATATATCTATTTATCTATATATTGATTTATCTATATATTGATTTATCTATATATTGATTTATCTATATATTGATTTATCTATTTATATATATTGATTTATCTATTTATCTATATATTGATTTATATATCAATATATTGATTTATCTATATATTGATTTATCTATATATTGATTTATCTATTTATCAATATATTGATTTATCTATATATTGATTTATCTATATATTGATTTATCTATTTATCCATATATTAATTTATCTATTTATCAATATATTGATTTATCTATATATTGATTTATCTATATATTGATTTATCTATTTATCAATATATTGATTTATCTGTTTATTGATTTATCTATATATTGATTTATCTATTTATCTATATATTGATTTATCTATATATTGATTTATCTATATATCTATTTATCTATATATTGATTTATCTATATATTGATTTATCTATATATTGATTTATCTATTTATTGATTTATCAATATATTGATTTATCTATTTATTGATTTATCTATATATTGATTTATCTATATATTGATTTATTTATATATTGATTTATTTATATATTGATTTATTTATTTACTGGTTTATTTACTTATCTATTTACCTAACTAACTTAACTTTATGATCACACTTTTTATATATACGTTTGTTGAAATTTGTTTATCTTTTTAATTAACAAACTAGCTAAACTTCTTTATTTATTTGTTTAATATAATTATTTTGTGTCTTTGTCGTTAGCTATCTTGGGTGTTAAATCAGTTTTCAAATTTTCTTCTGGTTTAACGGGATGATCAGTACATAAAAGACATAAAGATCCAGCTGACTCTCCAGGGTCTCTCATCTAGGGCCCCGTGGATTTATAAGTAGTCCCGCCATGAGCTGTCAAGCACAACGCTCGTTATCCATCGAAACCTGAACAAACCCAGTGTTTGTCGGCTGTATCTCTCTCTCTCTCTCTCTCTCTCTCTCTCTCTCTCTCTCTCTCTCTCTCTCTCTCTCTCTCTCTCTC